CCCCTGCCATGGGCAGGCGTGCTTGTCCCTGGCACCCTGGGGTGGGCACCCATCCCTGCCCAGCTACTTGCAGACACTGACCCACTCGGTGATGCGACACTCCTCACAGGCCACAAAGCAGCACCAGTGGAACTTGCAGTTGCAGCGCTCACTGCGCGTCTGCCGCAGGATGTTGTGTCCACGGCCACAGCACAGGCTCTCACAGTTGTCCATGCCTGGGCTGGTCTTGTTGCAGAGGCGCCCTTGGGTGCCCAAGGAGTCCAGGGCTGGTTCCCGCTCGCAGAAGTCTGGTGACTTCTCAAAGTAAACCAACTCGCTGATGCCAGCCCGGCGGCGATGTCGAGCATGGCCTGGCTCCAGCTGCCCGGCATTGCGGTTGTGGGGCCGGATAAGGGTGGCCCCATAGAAGCGGTCCTTGAGCAGAGACCCCACCAAGCGAAACTCAGGTGTCACCTGCCAGCACGTCTTCAGCTGGCAGCTCCCCGAGGTGCCGTGGCATTTGCACTTCCTCCTCATGTTGTCCATCACCACCTGCATGGGGAAAGGACAGAGAGGACATGGAGAAGGTTGTTTTTCAGGACCAGAGAAGCCATCATGGAGCTCCCTGTGGGCTGGCGCTATGGGAACACCAAGGGTTAGCATAAGCAGCCATCAGAGCCCTGGAGCTGCAAAGCTGGAACAGCTCTACCCTTGTTGCTGTGCCCAGTGTCACCCATATCGCACACCCTGCCCCTTCCCATCCTGACAGTACCAACTGGCTTTTATGCTCTAGCAAGGGATCAGCACCTAAAGGACAGACTGAGCTACCTGGCCAAAGGGAGAGGGAACCTGAATCTCACCTTCCTCTGCTGCCTGGCTCCAGCAGCATCAACCTGACCATGGACCCCAGTTAAAAGCTGGCGTTGCTGCATGTCTGCAGCGCTACCATCACCCAAATTTCAAGCAGGGATCAGAGATGCTCACAGCCCTGACTTGTGGTCTAGGGAGGCCGCAGTGAGGCTGGTGCCACACATCCACCCACCATGAGGGCCAGGGTGCATGGGGCTGGGCTGCGGCTGTGGTTTGGGCTGGGGCCAGAGGCCAGCATGGGGGCAAGGAGGAGCTTGGGGTCCCTATGCAGTGCTGCTGAGCCCCCACACTGTGTGCTGAGGTCTCCCTAGGTCCCCTATCCCTGCAAGGGACACTGCTGTGGCCATGCCAAGGGAAACTTCTCATGCCCAGCAGTCTCCAGGGACATGGGGTGGATGCACATCCCCGCGTGGCCTGGAAAAATGCAGTTTATACCTTCTGTTCCACCCCAAGAGGGATTCCCTGCTGGGTACTGTGCCTCCATACCCACGTGGTCACACAGGCTCCAGAAGTTCCCTTCTGATGAGGACATGCTCCAGGTTCTGGGGGAAGCCCAGGGGACACGTGGCCTTGAGCAGGGTCCTGTCCTACAATGCCAGCCCTGCCTGGCTGCCCAGCTTCACACCTGACCCATGCTGCCTTCTCCTGCCCCCTCCCTGGGGACACACATGTGCAAGGAGTGCCTTGTTTTGGTAGGGGTAGGTAGTTTTTACTCCTTGTTTTCTTGTTGTTGAGTAAATCTCCCCGTTGCTAAGCAGTTATGGTAATGAGGGTAGGCCAGGGAAACATGCCTGGAGCTGAGGGCACACGGTGGAGAGGTCTGGGCTGGGCTGGAGTTTGGCTTTCATCCTGCTGAGAGCCCTGTCTCCTGCCGGGAACTGCCTCCACCTCACAGGTAATGAGCTGCCTGGCCTCTCCGCTGTGCCCAGGGTGTGCCAGCCAGGAACACCAGCTGCTCATCACCCTCCTTGCCACCATCCATGGGAACACGTTGGCACTGGGACCCATCCTTTCCCACACCACCTCCCTGCTCCCTTGGCTGGGCTAGGGAAAATCTGCATATAGGGCTGTGGTTGGGATGGTCACCACTGGAATGGAGAGGACAACAGCAAGACAGCCGGACAGGGGCTCATCTGGGGCTACGGCTGGTCACAACAGGGGCTGGACAAGTAGCATGTGTGTGTTACCTCTCTGTCACCCAAGCCATCATTGCTGAGCATCCTGAGCCCCAGCACCACAGCACCTATCCATCCCTGCCCAGGGATGGCTTTTTCTCATGGGCAGCACAGGGGACACAGGACCCTGCCAGTGCCAGAAGACCCAAGAAGGACCCATCTGCACCTCAGCCCCATGCTTTTACCATCTGATCTCCTCCACACACCCCTACCCATCCAGGTCCTTCCCCTGTCTCACAGGCACCCAGGTTCAGCACATGCCCGGACTCGCTGGTGCTTTCTTTCGCACATTCCCAGCTCCTCCCAGACACGCTCATAAGAGCTTTATCATAGGTCTTTGTTGTGAGGGTAATGGATAGTTCCTTTCTGCCTTTCATCCTCTCTCATTCTCTGATCTGCTGCATTAGGAAGACCTGCAAAGCTTCTTGCATGCTCCTGCTGTTCCTCTCTTGAGAACTTGCTCCCTCCCATGGATGCAGGAAACCCAAGCAACTGTCGGTTGCCCAGAGCTTCCTATGCCAACAGTGGACCAAGGTGACCACTGCCACCATCAGAGGATGCTGCGCATCCCCAGCAGCTGCAATCCCCTCCCTAGCTTTGTAGCTGGATGCAAAGAGGAAAAATAACCAGTGTGTTTCTGCCTGGTTTCGAACCAGGGACCTTCCGCGTGTCAGGCGAACGTGATAACCACTACACTACAGAAACCCACATCCCATTGTTTCTGGACGTTGTCACTGGTGGGATTGTCATCTCCCCCTGGCAAGGAACGGTCTGAGCTGGGTGACAGGCTTACCTGAGTGCAGAACACCCTTGGGACACACAGGAACCATGGACACGATGCTCAGAATCAGCAAGATGCTGTAGAGCCCTGTGTACTGCACCTGACTGGTGCATGGAGAGGGATGGTGCATGGCAGGGCACAGCACATGGTGTGCATGTCCACATCACTGCTCTGCTCAAGGGGTACAACCCTCAGGACATGGAGGGGAGGACCACAGAGCTGCTGCATGCAGCACAGCCACTCCTTTCCTAGGAAATCCCAGCAGATTGCTCCTTACTACAGCAGAAAGCTGGCCTTAGGAGTGAGGAGGGCTTGGGTGGGTGTGGGACCCATGGCATTCCTAATAGAGCAGGTGGGGAACTGAAGAACCTGGCAATGTGGATGGCCAGCTCCAGCCCTGGCAATTAGCATGGCACCAACAGGCACAGACCAGGCACAGCATCATCTCCTTGCTCCAATGCAAATTCAGAAACGGACATGCATATGGGCTCACATCCTCATCTGAATAGAGTCCCTGAGCTGGGCAGCCTGTTCCAGCCATTGCTTCCCCCCTGCACTGGTACCATCCCCTTCTTTATCCCTTTGGTTCTTCTCTGCCTTTGCTTCCAGTTCCCAGGCTTCTCCCATCAGCCCAGCTCTTGTCTCTCAAGCCACCAAGAGCTGACATTGCCAGTCTTGTGCCTGCCTGCCCTTGGGGACAAGTAGACCCAAGGTATTTTTGCTGTTGCTGGATCCCACAGGGACTGCATGGTGACACCCCCCCTGTGCAAATATTCCTCTCTCACCATCCCCTCCTTCTGCAGGGGGCTGTGGGGCTTCCTTCAAGAAACAGGCAATACAGACCCCAAATTTCTGAGCACTGTCAGGACTCCCAGTGTTTTGGGGTACACAGAGCTGGAGAGGAGCCAGAATGGGCCCTGCAGCCAGAACTGGGATGGGGGCGGGGGGGTCTTGCCTGGCCTGGAGCAGAGCAGCCTGTGGAAAATTTAGCTGCCTAATGCTGAGTGAGCCTTCACCATGCACAAGCAAACAAAGCCAAACAAGCAAAAAGCTATGGCTTTCCCCAGGCATTTACAGCTTGGCCAAACTGGGACGGCTTCTTTGGGGTGGTAATGCTCAGCTCCAGCAGCAGGGAAGAGCGCACGCCACGGTCTGGCTCTGCAGCGTCCCCATCTCACAGCTGGCTTTAAACATGCTCAAAGCAGGAGGCACATCCAAATGTCTGAGCCATCCCATCCTGGGCAAACACTCCCTGTGGAATTCTGATCTCTAATTACTTATTCCTGCAGCCACTAGACACACTCCTGTGCTGTCCTGGCATCATGTCCCTGGGATCTTGGGGACACATGTCCCACTGGATTCAGGGGATGGGGTCCCCCTGGCACTTGCTGGGAGCAAAGGCAGGCAGGGCAATGCAGCCACTCTCCCAGCCCCTCCTACCTGCATGCTCCTTGTCTCCAATGTCAGGCTGCTTTTAAACATAAGTTTCCAGAGCGAGCAAGCTACTAATTAGCACCTTTAACAAGACCTGACATCATGAGAATGGAGGGGAGGCTGCCCTGCTCACCTGGACAGACTCCAGCACCCCTCAGTGCCAGGGGATGAGGCTGTGGGCTGTCACCTCCACTCCCCAGGGGATGCTGCACTTCCCAGATGGTACAGGTGCCCACTGCCTGGCCCAGTTCCACTCACATCTGCTTCCTCCAGGCACTGGCTCCCTCTCCAGAGGCAGAGCTCTGCTGGGTGCTGGAGCCTGTGCTGTGTCCCCATGATGCCAGTGACTTTTCCCTCCCTGTTCATAGCCCTCCCTTGCTGCAGCTGCCTGACACCAGTTCACCCTGTCCCTGAGAGGCAGGAGCTGGACTCATTGCCATGCCACCCCCATAGCACTTCTGCAGCACAGGCAGGTGACAATGGCCAGGGAAGTGTCCCTTGGCAGGGGGGCAGCAGTGATACTCAGAGGTGCCCTCCCCAGCAGATTTGCTCCATGGCAGGGCTGTATCACTGCCTTTGCTCCACGCAAAACTGGGGAGATGCGGGTGCCTTGGGGGGCAATCCCAGCCTTGCACGTGTCCCACCACAGCCCTCCTGCACGTGTCCTGGAGAACCCAGCACCCCACAACCCTGCCTAGCACCCCACTCACCTGCCGGCCCACACGGTTGTTGTGCAGCCTCATGCGGGAGTGGATGTCCCTGTAGGTTTCCCGGGAATCGAGGAAATCCTTGGAAAACTTCTCCCCATAGTCCACGTCGGGGCTGCACCCTCCCCATTCCCAGGAGTCCTGGAGGCCAGGGGTCTCAGCTGGCATGTGCTCCATGTGTACCCCATGCACCATGCCCTTGCCACGGTTCATGGCCTCCAGCTGGAGACGATGCAGCTTGCGGCGGATCCTCATCACCTCGGCGCTTCTGGTCACAGCCACAGGCCTGCAGCTTGCCCAGGGCACAAGCGTTGGACACAGCGTGCACCACTCCGGCGGCCGCGATGGCGTATGCAAAGGCACTCTCCCGAAAGCCTGCGAGGAAGGAGAAAGTAGGGCTCAGGCAGGGCATTGTGGATGAGCCAGCAGCATGCTGGAGTATAAAGAGCCGGCGTTCAGCTTGTGCCTTGGCTTGTCCTCATGCACTTGCTCCCACTGGGACCATGGCCAAACCCTTCCTCCAGCCCCATCCCCACCACTGCTGCCCTGAAGCCCAGCCCTGCCATGGCCCAGCTCCCACCATCATCCTGCTCTCCCATTGCCCTGGGAGATGCCACCATGGCATTGCTCAGGCTTCAGCGTTATGGCCCTGATGGGAAAGGCAGTATCTCCTCCCCCCTCCACTCAGAATTTCCCACTGTATTACATATACTGCTGGCTGAGGAATACTTCTGCCGAGGAATGGGCCATTTCTGCTTACACACCGAGTGCATGATCAGGCAGTAACAGGAGCAGACAGCACTGCCTGTCCAGCTCCATCTGTCTGCCCATGTCCCTTCCTTCCCCAAGCCCCGCCAGCTCCCTCAAGAAGCTCTAAATGTGATACCGTGCTGGAAAAATTGAGCATCGCTAGTTAGAGAGAGCATGCTGCGACTGCACCATGCGCTGCCAGGGCTGGCAGCTGGTATTCGTTAAATGCTGGGGAGCGAGCACGTCTGCAAGTGCCATTAGCTGGGGATGGGGTGGATGGGGACAGGGATGGGTCCTGTGGCACGAGCTCTGTGGGGCTGCTTGGCTTTGCTACAGCTAGGTGAAGAGCCTCCCCTACCTGGGAAGTTCTGCTTTACTTTAAATGCAAAGTAGTGGTTTTATTTGTGGTTCTGGGGCCAAGCATGGAGCCCGCAGTGCCCTTTGCTTCAATGCACAGTGACTGGCCCCAGCACGAGGAGGAAGAGGAGGGAGAGCCAGATTTCGTGTTGTGGCTTCATGCGTGAATAAATAAATAGCTGGACCTCACCAGCCTCCCTCCCTCAATTGGACAAGAGCAGATTGATCAGCACTGGCTTTGCTACAGCTGAAAAGAGGAGAGGTTTTGGGACGTTTTCCCCAGCAGATCCATGCCATCACACGGGCAGCTTGGGTGAGCACCCCAAAGCACAGATCCCAGGCAGGGTCTCTGCCAGTTCCCTGCCTGCACCACAGAGTCATGAGAGGTGAGAGTACAACCACTCCCCACAGCCGTCGCCCATCCTTGGCGATGCTTCCCACCACGCATGCCTTCTTGGTGGTTCGCTGCCGCCCGCCAAGCAAACGCTATGATCTTATTACAGGGAAATGAAATGCGGCTCAGAAACCTGCATTTAAAGTCATGCTGCTCTTTTGTGTGTTAATTTGACACTGGTGCATTTAAAAAATTAATGAGGCGCTTGTTTAAAAGCCAGCAGGAGCCTCTCCCAGCTTCCCCTTGGTGTGGGACAAGCTTGCTCTCAGCCTGCCTCTTTCCATGCACAAGTTGAACAACATTTTTCAGCAGGCAGGTAATGGGGCTGCTGGTGCGTATGCTGTGCAGCCTCCCTGGGGAAAGCGCTGGCAGGCAGTGCCTGCAACACACCCACATTGCTGTTAGAGCAGGACAGCCCAAATCAGGGGACCTTTAGCCCCCAGGTGAGCCATGCAGGATGGAGAACCAGCATGGGAAGCTCTCCAGGATCCCCAAATCATCGCCATGTCAGTTTTCCATCCCCCTAGTTTGGGCCAGCTCCAGCCCTTCATGAGCCAGTCCCAGGCACAGCCCAAGAGTAGGGACTTGTCGCTGTCACCCCACTCAACATCTCCAGCTCTTTGCACAGCCATTGCCTGGGGATGGCAGCAGCAAACCCTCCACCCAGCACACCACTCTCCTCTCAGCCCTGCCTTTCCGTTAGCCTCTTTCTCACACACTTCCCTAGCCGGCCGAATAATTTCCCATGTGGCACCTCCCGGGGCCCAGACAGAAGCTCTACCCCACCCAGTCCGTCTAGCAAGCCCGTCTCCTTGCAGGTAAAGAGGCTAGGTTCGTTCGGTGCCCTCCATGGCTGGAAAACCCCTGGGGTCAAGCCCCAGTCCTCTTTCTTCCTCCGCTGCTCTCCAGCCATGCAAGAGCTGATGGATGAGGCACGGGTCCTTGTCCCTGGAGCTGCCATCCCCCAGTCTGCAGGCAGGTGAGAGGCTGGTCCCCAGGACTTAATGTCCCAGCGCTCAGAGAGTCTTGTCCCCTTCTCACCATGGCCATTTCCCTGCTCAGTATCACTGCCTGGCCCCACCACTCCTCCCTGCTTTCTCCGCTCCTTCCCCCACCCTCTTTAATGGGGAGCCATGAGCAATGGAGAGGAGGGGGACAAGGCAGCACCAGGATCACAGCATCCATGCCAGTGCGGTTCTGCTTGGAAGTTCAGTTTACATTCCTCGCTCTACCCCAGCCACGCCAGAGCCCAGAGGATTGCAGCAAAGCAGCAAGCAACGTGGCTGCAGGCAACAACCACCGGCCTCATGGGCTTGGAGAGGGTGGGAGCTTCCAGGAACCGCAGGCGAGCGCAGCATGCTGCATGCAGCCCTGAGCCCTTCAGAGAGAGGCTCTACAGCTACTCCAGCCACCTAAGACCTGAGTGGTGATGTCTGAGTCACTAGATCCCTCCAGAGACCACAGAAGAGGTTGTAGCTGTGGGAGGTATGAGAAGAAGTATTGCATCCTGCAGGGAAGAAGGAATGGAGGACCCCACCCTGACACCACGACCAGCAGCCAGCCTGCCATGTACTTAAAGGACTGTGCTGGGCAAGGAGGGTGGATCTGAAATTTCACCCCCAGGTCAGATCCTCAAGTGGCTTTCTTAAGCAAGGGAAAATTTTCCCTGTCAAGATGCATTTGGGAGATGGGGAAGCATTTAGCAGCACCCCAAGCCCCAGCTGGCAGATGCAGCTGTTTCTCCATCTCTCATGTGGATATGGGATGAAGGCAAAGGGGCCAGCTCATCCATGGCTGTGGGCTCCATGGTCTGGAGACCAGGGAGAACTGGAGTCATGGTCTTCCTCCCACGGATCACTACTGCACCTGAGCAGCAAAGCCCTCCCAGCACCCATCATGCAGCGCCTGGGTGCCATCGAGGAAGCAGCCAGGACAGCCTGTTCTACGAACACCCTGGGGTACCCCAGGGATACTCAGCCACCACTCCATGGGTAGTACCCCCCAGAAGTGGGGGGCAGCTGCCAGGATGCAGGCATATCGCCCCAGCCCTGCTGGTTGTCGAGGCAGAGGAGAGCTTCTCCTGCCACCCCCTGCAAGGCCTGCAGAGACAGCCAGTCCTGACACGCTGCCTCTCCCCCAGCCCTGCTCCCTCCCCTCCCCTCTCCCTAATTAAACTGCAGGTGAACCTGCCAGGGTCTGGCCCAGCACCAGGCGCTAAATGCCTTCCTGCAGATCCCGACTTGCCTCCCTGCACCTCCTTGAGCGTGCCAGGGACAGCCTGCAGCCCTTGCTCCCCGTCTGCTCACAGCACTCCAAGCCGGCAGCCCTCACCACTCTGCAGGGAGCCAGGATCAGCCCCGCACCTCCGGGGATGCTGCCCTGACCCCAAGGTCTCATTGGGGGAAGGTCCAGGGGATGGGGGTACCCACAGGGATGAAGTCAAGCATCCGAAGCACCCACATTGTGCTTCAGGGCCAGGTGGGCAAAGCCCTTCGCTTGCCTGGGGGTACTAAAATCCCTGCCAGCAGCCCAGCTGCAGCTGCGCCAGGCCAGGTGCTGCATTCTGTGGGCACCAAGGTTTGGCTGGGGATCTGCAGAGCCGGGCACCGGGGTCCTGAGCTTGGCATCATCTCCCTGGATAGCCATAAGAGCATCTGCCTCCCTCAGCACACAGCAAAGCCTCCCCATGCTCCAGTTCACAGCTAGCTGGCCCCCAGCACCTGCTGTTTCCACCCTTGCAGGGAGTGCCCCCCTCCTCACTGTAAGAAATCAAGGTTTGGCCATGGACATGCAGGGCTCTTGGCACCAGGAAGCCCTTCACAGAGGGCACTGGGCATGACCCATCCCTCCAAAGGCTGCAGAAAAAAACAGGGAATACTGCATTCCAGAGCCATGTCCCCTCCAGCCATGCATCCTTGGGGGCCTTCAAGGACACCCAGCCCCTCCACGAGGGTCCCAGTTCTTTCAGAGCTCCATATAGATGGTGTTGGGATGAGCAAAGGGGAATGCTTAGGGAAGAGGGATCCCTTAGCACACCTTGGACAGCCCGTGCCTGGCACCCAGACAGCCGGCCCTGCTGGCACATCTGCCGGACAAGGACAAAAGCTCGGTGACCCACAGCCATCCACAGCTTTGTTTTTGGCAGGCACCCAGGCATGGTTCAGCACAGCCACACAGTGCTCAGCTACTCATGGATGCTGTAGGGGGACTCCACACCAGGGGCAACAGGCCATCCTTTCCAGTGAGGTGGACACAATCATGCTGCTCACCCTAGCAGCAGGGGACCTGTCTCCATTGCTGGAGCAGATGCAGCCACCTGCCTCCATCCTCACAGCTCCATCCTCCTATATCTGCCCCAGGGGCCAGAAGAAGATGTCTCTGATGGCTGGGACAGCACATGGAGGGTGAGGGTGGAACAGCAGAGAGGGATGGGACCAGGGATAGGACTGGTGCTGACTGGGGTGACAGGGTCAGGGAATGGGCAGGAAGGTGGCAAGGACATAGGCAGCCAGCTGAGGAGCCAGGGAAGATGACAGGAGGATTTGCAATGGCAATGCTGAGCACATAGAGGGCATGTGGGCCAAGAAGGATGGAAGGCATAGAAGGCACTGGAGGCTTAGCGGGGGGTACAAGGGACACTCCACACCCCAAGGGTGCAGCATCAAAAGACCAAACCTGAAACACCCACAGGCCACTGTTCAAAAATCCAGGGGCTCTGTGAGAGCAGGGACAGTAAATCCCCTCTGCTTGCCCTCTGCTAACCTGTTGTGCCTCACAACCACCATACTCTGTACCCCAGGGATGGATGCATCTCCCTGTCAATTCCAGCAGGTCTGTGCTCTGCCCAGAATGCTGTCGGCATCCTTGTCCCTGGCTATGCTGCCCAGACACCACCCCAAACTCCCAGTCCTGTCCAGTTTTGAAGCCTCCCTGCTCCTTCCTGGCTCCCCAGGGCTTGCACTCAAACTTCTAGTATCAGATCAGCAGGATGGAGAAACAGATACTCATCTGCCACTCTCCCATTCTCTATTCCCAAGGGATGAGCTGCTTGGCTCCACCAAGTACCTGGCTGACTGACAGAGCACGGGACAGGCACTGGTGCTGCACCCTGGACAGCTCACGCCTGTGCTGGGGAAGATGTGAGAGATGCAGGAGGACAGGGTGGAAATGGGGAATGGAGCCAAGTGGGGAAAGCAGGAAGGAGAAGCCAGCTACAAATAATTTAAAGTGAGATTCACGCACGGCTGAACTGATGGCAGAAGAAGTGGGAAAAGGAATGAAAGATTAAAGGGGTCTGTCACTTCAGGTTACAAACAATGATCCTACAAGCACGCTGCACTCCCAGGCATGGCAAGGATGGATGGGGCAGGGCACAGAGCAGAGATCTGGTCCCTGGAGGTCAGACGCATTAATGCCTGCAGCAAGGAGCCTGCACCCCTCTCTTCCAGCCTCTCCTCCAGCATTGGGCTTGGGTGATGCACCCATCTGTAAGGCAAAGCTCAGAGCTCCAGTTCCATTATTGAGGGACACAAGTGGGCTGGAAGCAAGCCAGGGCACCGGTCTCAAGGCTTGCTCCATGCCAGAACAGCTCCGAGCAACCACATGGGATGGCCTGTGTGCTCAGGGCTCATCCTGCACCCTCTGCTGCCAAAACGGGAATTCCATAAGGTGCCTGTCTGCTCTGCTGCTCCAGGCCTACTTCTGTCCTTCCCTAGTGCTGGGTGCTCCATCCCACGGGATGATATCCTACCAGTGCTGGGAGCCTAGAATGAGTCATACTTAAGAGCTCAGGCCTGGAGCAAGAGTCCAGGGGCTGCATAAGTCCCCACACCCATCAGTCACAGCCCTGACAGCGCAAAGAGCTGAGGTGGCTCCTGAGACATAAGTGAGCTGCAAGTGACTGGCCACCACCAGACCTGGTGGGCTGAGGGAGGGTTGCAGAAGCTCAGTGCTCTCTGCTGCTGGAGCTTCTCACCCAGGCTGGTGGGACCCGGAGCAAGGAAGATCACCTGGGTGTGTGAGCAACTTGAGCCAGCAAGTTAGTGTCTCCTACTGCCTGAGGAGACTAAAAGTGAACTGCATTCCTCAGAGGACCTGGAAATACCTCGATGCTTATCAGAGCTGACGGTCCCCACCCTCCCTGCCAGGCCCTAACTTGGGTGCTGCTCATGGAGGGAAGAGATGCTGCCCTCCTCCAAGCACCAACGTGCTGAGAGTGGCCATAGCTGCTCCATGGCTGGACCACAGCCCTGATGTCACACGTGCTCCAAGGTAGCATTCCTTCCCTCGTGTCCAGTCCATCTGCCCTGGACATGAGGGAACTCCCAGCACTTCTGCGCTCCCCAATCCAGCCATCTCCCCACAAGCTAGAGCTGCCTGGGTGACCCTTCCACCACATCCTCCCAAAGGCATCTAAACCTCAACCTGCCATATTCTCTTCTGTGAGACTCTCCTTGCAGTCCCATGGAGAGATGTTGTAGGATATGGAAGGAAGCTTGGGGAAGGGATAAAGGCACCTCTGTGCTGGGCACCAGGCTAGGAGGCTCTCAAAGCAGGTAGATGAGCAGCATCTTTGGTAGTTTTCACCTTCCTCAGGACCTAGAGGAGCAATGTCTTCACTGGGCACTTTCCCTCCCTTCAACACCCACCTGCCTGCCACTGGTACCCTACTGTCCTCTCCTACCCAGTCTGGGGCAATGGGCACTTAGAAATGTGCTGAAGCCCAGGCTTCAAGAAGGGTACTTAGGTGAGAAGATGCATTCAAGTCCTACAGAAGGTCCCATCAGGTCACAACCCTGATCTGCACCATGCAGTGCAGCCCCTCTGCACCCCGAGAGTCCGCTACTGAGGAAAGAGTATCAGCTGGGAGGCTCTAATCCAGGCAGAGCCAGCCATGCCTGCGAGAGAGTCATGGCACCAGGGCTTGACAGACCATGGAGAGCTAGGAGAGCTCTCCCAGCAGCTCAAGTGGGTGCTCCGTCAGCAGACAAGCTCCCAGTACAGCCTGTCTCTTTGCCCCCACCATGCCACTATGCTCTAGGGTCCCACAAAGCAGCTCTCTGCACTGGGGAGCCAACACAAAGGCAGGATGCAAAGGTGATGGGCTCATAGAGCTATGTCCCATTAGCTAGGGGTGTTTCTGCTCACCATGATGCACTGAAACACCATCCCCACAGCAGGAAAGAGCCAAGATGCGCACTGCATCCACCAAACTGAATCCCAGAGCTTCGCATCCACCCTCAGACCCACCAACTGTGCTGCACACCCATGGCACCACTCCAAACACCAGCCTACACCCTATGGGGAGAAGATAACAGAAAGTTGTGGGGCCTGGAAGAAGCCTTTGGAGCAGCTGGGGCTGGGCAGGGAGGAGTAGCTCAGCACGAGGGCCAGTGTAGGTACAAAGGTGTGTGGAGAAGAGCCGAGCTTTGCCACAGTGCAGTGGCAAAATCCTGGGGTTTCTCAGGCTCTGTTTGCCTTCATCCATGGGGATGCTGAAGAGCTGGCCTGGCTCCCTGGGCCAAGGAAGAGCTGTGCAGGGCTCCATGGAGAGCCCATGAGGGCTCCTGAGAGCAGGGGCTGGGCATAGAAAGAGGAAGAAAAGGGAGACCATCCAGCCCTCACCTCTGCTGAAAATGATGCTCTCATAGGGAATCTTGTTCTTGGTCTCAAGGCTGGAGCAGTTCCAGCGTTGGTCCCGGAACTGGTGCTGGCACTCGTGGATGGCAATCTGGATGCCCTGGATGGCCGAGGCGGTGACGTCAGGGTGGCGCACGCACACCTCCAGCTGCCGCCGTGTCAGCCCTGGCAGGGTCAGGCACACAGTGTTGGCATTCAGCACTGGCTCCGACGGCAGCTTCAGGCCCAGGATCTCATTGGAGCAGGAGCTGAGAGGGAAAGGGAAACCCATGAGCTCGGAGCAAGCAATGTAACAACTGCTTGCTTCCCCTTTGGGGAAGAGGAAGAGCTTGGTGGGGGACACACTTGGGTAGGGGAGATGCTCCTCAGCCCACACTGTGCCAGATGCTTACAGAGAAGGCTGGAAAGCCCTGGGCATGCCAGCTCAGCCAGGCAGAGATGCCCCAGCAGCACTGGGGCTGCAATCCTCTCCAGCCATGTCAGCACAGCCTGTACCCAGCAGCAGTCACATTTGGTCCCCCTGCCTCTGGAGCCCAGTTTTTCCTACGGCTGCACCCCATCTGTGTGCTCCCCCAGGGATCTCACACCCTGGCCACACAGTGCAGACTCTTAGGCACAGACTGCCCCAGCTTGCCTTCCCCAGAAAGCATGGGCTTTCCCCTGGGACAATAACAGAGACCCTGGAGTAGGAGACCATCCCAGGCCTGGCTCCATCCCTGTTGCTGGCTGATTCCATCCCTGCATCTCCCATATCTCCCAGCACTGCTGGTCCTCCAAGAGAGGTAATGATAGGGACCATCCTTTTCCTGCCAGCTTGGCATGGAAATTCTGAGCCACGGGTCCTGATGAACACCCTCAAACTCTCAGCAATAATCCCAAATTAACATCCCAGCCCCACTAGACTCGATGCCTATCACCACAGAAGCACAGAGACCAGCTGATGGATGGGTGCAAGGGGAGGCACATGGTCCATGGCAGGGGAGCAGCTACTTACACAAGTAAAGGTGCTGCCTGGGGAAACAGGGGGGTAGATGGAGTGTGGGAAGATGGACAAAGCCTGTCTAGAGAGGTGCCTGGAGCTAAGACAGTGGTACACAGGACAGATGGATGCAGACAGGGAGTTGAAAGGGGTGGTAATGTTTGCCCAGCCCCAGGGAATGGCTTGAAGGACCCTGAGATCCACAGTGTCCAAGCAGAGGACCTGCAAAGCAAGCAGCAGGCAGAGGGATGCCCAGGAGCATCCTGGATCTTGCAGCAGGGTCCATCAGGAGCTCAGCACTGCCCTGCTCCTTGCTCAGGGCACCTTGGTCCCTGCTGAGAGCTCTCTCCAGGTAGGGTTCCCCCTTCCCTGGGACAACCCAGAGCTGGCAGGAGCAAGGAGCTTGGAGCCCTTTCAGCTTTGGTTACAGAAATGAGACCTGGGGGAGGATGCTGGAGGAAGGAGTGCAGCTGCTTTATGGAGCAACCTGGTCTTGGGGAGAAGGGTTAATCCCCCTCTGCTCCCCCAAATCCTACAAGCCTGGTGCAGGCACATGGACAGAAGCAGCTCTCCCCAGCTCAGTATTCACCCAGCTCTGGAGAAAGGGCTCAGCCCCAGAGTCCCTGCTGATTTACAGCTTGTTCAGGGGGGAAGGGGAACTGTCAAGAGTCAGGCGGCTGCTTTCTCCAGCTTTCCAAGGGTGTTTACACCTATGCCACCACTTCCACTGGTGATATGTGGTCTGCCGTAGTGCAAATCTACAGTGACTCCAACAGGGAGAGTCGAGGTGGGGAGAAGAGCAGACAGAAGGAGAGCAGAAGGGGGTGCATCCCATCAAAGCACCTACACAGGAGGAGAAATCCTCTGCCCGGCTCCTGCGCTAATTCATGCTGCCGAAGCAAGCCGTGGCTGACACGAGATGCAAAACAGGTCCGCAGCTACCACCATCCCCAAGCCCAGCAGCTCCTTCCCCAAGCACTGCAAGGACCTTGTCCTCTGCCTGTCCTGAGCCAGACACTGCTCCTGCCACCTTCTCCCAAGGCATCCCGGGGTGTGGGGGGTGTTATGGTCCTTCTCCCCATTGCACAGCAGGGAAACTGAGGCAGGGGCCCTTGTGCAGGGCCCCGGAGAGCAGAGGGCAGGTCCTGCTGCCTCTTACTCCACCCAGGGCTCAGGGAGGCCAGGGACCGGCAAGGAGCTGTCACTGTCACCCTCCCTAGGAGGACACAGCACTCCTCCCAGCTCTCTTCCCCCTTGAAATCTGGATTTAAACTTGATTTCACGGTGACAAGCCCCCAGGTCACAGGCTGCAGCGGCTGCTGCTTTAATTAATACAAGTCCCAACGTTAAGAAATTATATTTAAAGGGACTGAAGGGAGGGGGAAGGGCGGGGGAGCCCCCCCACTCAC